AGGGGCTGGGGGGACTGAGGGGGGCTATTGGGAGTCTGGGGGGCTGAGGATGGAGTTAAGGGGATTTAGGGGAGAAATTTAAGGGGGTTTTGGCTCAGATTTAGGGGAACTTGGGGAGCAGAGGATTTTAGAGGAGTAAAGCGGGGAGATTTGGGGGGCAGCTTTGAAGGGGTTGGGTGTAGAAAGGTTTTGGGGGATAGGGGGGAAGCAAAGAGATTTGGGGGCAGAGCTGAGGGGGTTTGGGGGCAGAGGGGGTTTAGGGGACAGTGTAGGAGGACTTGGGGGCAGAGCTGTGGTGCGGGGGGGGGGCATTTGGGGTTTGGGGGGGTGGTGCAGGAGGTAACAGCCAGCCCTGCCGACCCCCCAGGTCTGCCTGACACCGCCCCCCCAGCCCCCCCCACCGGGACTGACCCCACCCTCAACGGGGGGCCGGAGCCGGAGCCCCCCCTGGGCGCCGCCGAGGCCATGGAGCGGCTGCAGGTGACCCCAAAACACCCCCCAGCCCCTCTCCTGCCCCAGAGGGACCCAGGAGATCCACGTCCCCCTCCCCTAACCTGTGGGGGACCCCCCGAAATCGCTCCCTGTCCCAGGAGACGGAGAAGATCATCGCGGAGCTGAACGAGACGTGGGAGGAGAAGCTGCGGCGGACGGAGGCCCTGAGGCTGGAGCGGTGAGAGGGGGCCCCAAACCCTGCCATCGCTCCCAAAACCCTCCTCAACCCCCACAGCCCCTCTGAACTTCCTCCTGCCACCCCCCAAATTCCCTGCAGCACCCCCAGTCCCCCTCATGGCCCCCTAAAACCTGATCCCTCCACAGGCTTCCCAAACACTTTTTATGTACCCTCGAGTCCCCTCATGGCCCCCCCAGCCCAACACCCACCCCACTGCCCCCTAAACACCCTTGGGCCCCTCAGGCCCCCTTGGGCCCCCCTAAACCCCTCGTGCCCTCCAGGGAGGCGCTGCTGGCTGAGATGGGGGTGGCTCTGCGGGAGGACGGCGGCACCGTTGGCGTCTTCTCCCCTAAAAAGGCAAGTCAGGGGGCCTGGGGGGGCCCCTCAAAACCCCACAGCCTCTCCCCCACCAGGGGGGACCCCACTCACCCTGACTTTGGGTTGCTGTTTCTTTTCTGCCCCCCCAAAAGACTCCCCACTTGGTGAACCTCAACGAGGACCCGCTGATGTCCGAGTGCCTCCTCTACCACATCAAGGATGGTGTGACCAGGTGAGCGGGGGGCTGGGGCCCCCCCAAACCACCCAGGGCCCTCCTGAACCCCTCAGGGCCCCCCAGACGCCTCGGGCCCCCCAATTTGCCCTGTGCCTCCCCAGGGTGGGCCAGGTGGACGTGGACATCAAGCTGTCGGGGCCGTTCATCCGGGAGCAGCACTGCCTGTTCCGCAGCTGCCCCGACCCCTCAGGGGAAGGTACGGAATTCAGAGGGGGGGGTGCCAGATTTTGGGGTGCCCCCCCTTGCCCTGCCCCCTTCCTGCACCCCCTAATTGCTCTTTCTCCCCCCCCCAAACGCTGGCACTGGAGCAGGTCACCGTGGCCCCCCCAGGTACCGCTCCCCCTGTGCCGGCGGGACGGGGGAGGGTTGGGGGGTTGGGGGTGGGATTTGGGGTCCCCCCACCCCGGCTTAGCAGGGGGGTGACCCACCCTCCCCTCGTTGTCCCTCCCCGAAGTTGTGGTGACGCTGGAGCCGTGTGAGGGGGCTGAGACCTACGTCAACGGGAAGCAGGTGACGGAGCCGGTGGTGCTCAAGTCGGGTAGGGCCCGCCCCAAATCCCTCTCTGTTCCCCCAAATCTCTCTGTGTTCCCCCAAATCCCTCTGTGTCCCCCAAAATCCACCCCAGATCTCTATGTGTCCCCCAAATTTTTCCTCCAATTCACTGATGTCCCCAAATCCCCCCAAAACTCCCCGTGACCCTCCCAAATCCGTATGTCCCCAGATTTCCCCTAAATCCCCTCTGTTTCCCCCGCCCTGTTCCTAGGCTACCGCCTCATTTTGGGGAAGAACCACGTGTTCCGCTTCACGCACCCGGAGCAGGCGCGGCGGGAGCGGGAACGGGGGGCTCCCCCCGGGCCCCCCCTGGACTGGAACCTGGCGCAGCGGGAGCTGCTGGAGCAGCAGGGCATCGACATGCGCCTCCAGAGGTGGGGGCACCCTCGGGGGCACTTGGGAACCCCCCAGGCACGGGCTGGGGGTCTCACCCCGTGTGTTCCCCCCGCCCCAGGCTCCAGGAGCTGGAGAACCAACCCCAGGCAGAGAAGGAGACGGTGGAGCAGCCACAGGTGAGGGGCCCCGGGGGGAGGCTGGGGCTAATTTGGGAATTCTGTGGGTACGTCTGGGGGTCGCCTGTGTCACTTTGGTGTCCCATGAGCGTTCCTGGGTGTCCCACAGGCGTCCCTTGGGTAGCTCCTGGGTGTCACCACTGTCCCTTGCCTCCCCTCAGCGTCCCCTGGGTGTCCCTTGGGATGTCCCCCGGCTGCCCGAGCTCTGCCCTGAGTGGCCCCTGCATCCCCCACGCCGTCCCTCCACGCACCCACCCGCTCCCCCCGTGTCCCCCCGCAGCCCCCCACGGCAGACCCCCGCTGCTACGAGGCCGGCTGGCGCCTGATCTCGTCCCTGCGCGCGGCGCTGCCGGCGCCCGCCGTGCGCTCGGTGCTGCGCCGGGCCGGGCTCCCGCTGACGGCGCCGGGCAAGCGCCGGGAGCCCCTGCGCGTCTACCAGATCCCGCAGCGGCGCCGCGGGGGCTCCTCGGCCCCCGCCCCAACCCCGGCCTCGGCCTCGTCCTCGCCTCAGCCCTCGTGGGTGACCATGGCCGACCTGAAGGCGCAGGCGGTGCGGGAGCTGAGCCTCGAGGTGGCCCTGCGGGAGCCGCGGCCGGCGCGGCGCGAGCTGGAGGCGCTGAGCCTGGCGCGGCTGCGCGAGCTGTGCCGGCGCCACGGCAAGCGCGAGCCCACCGAGCGCGACGGCTGGCGCGCCGTGGCCAGGGACGTGTGGGACGCCGTGGGCGGCGGCGGCGAGGACGAGGAGGGCGGCGGCGGCGCCCGCGAGCAGGTGAGCGAGGTGGAGGGGCTGCGGCTGCACCTGGACAGGCTGGCGGGGATCCTGCGCGAGGTGAAGCGGCAGAACAGCGCCAAGGACGAGCAGATCCGCGCCCTGCGCGACCGCGTGGGGCAGATGGAGCGAGTCATCCCGCTGCCGCTGGTGAGGGGCACCCCCCGGGCTGAGCCCTGGCACCCACAGCCTGGCCTAGGGCAACCCACGGCACCCCAAAGAGCCTCAGTGTGCCTGACCCACAGCCTGACCCACAGCCTGACCTAGGGCACCCCATGGCACCCCAAAGAGCCTCAGTGTGCCTGACCCACAGCCTGACCCACGGCCTGACCTAGGGCATCCCCCAGCCTGCCCTACTGCACCCCATGGACCCCTAACGTAGATCCTGCCACACACAGTGACCTAGACCTCCCCTTCCCACCCTGTGGCCCCCCCAGACACATCCCTCCCACCCCATGCCCCCCCCCCCGCCCCACAACCCCCCCAGACCTTCCCCACACCCTCCTTGCCCCCCAGACTCCCCTAACCCCCCTCTCTTCCCCTCCCCACAGGATGATGATGCCGAGGCCGAGCCCCCCGCCCAGGAGCCCCCCCAGGACGCCCTCCCGGACCCCCCCCAGCCCAGCCCAGCCCGGGGGTCGCCCCCCCCCTCGCCCCCGTCGGCGGCGGCGGCGCGGCTGTGCCGGCTCATGGAGCAGGACCCGGCGTTCCGGCGGGGGCGGCTGCGCTGGCTGCGCCAGGAGCAGGCCCGGCTCATGGCCGGGGGGGGCCCGCAGCCCCCCGCCACCCCCCGCCGCCCCCCCCGCTTCAACGCGGCCCCCCAGGACTCCAAACTGCGCTTCCCCTTCAAGAGCAACCCCCAGCACCGCGTGGCCTGGGGGGGAGGCGGGGGGGGGGCCGCCACCCCCCCATCCGAGCACAGCCCCCCCCCGCCCCCCTCGGGGCGCCCCCGCCGGGGGTCCCTGGACGGGGGGGCCCCGCCGCCCCCCGTGGGGACCCCCCCTCCTCGTGTCCGCCGCCAGCGCTCGGCCCCTGACCTGAAGGCGCGGGGCCCCCCTGCTTAGGGGGGCGCGGGGGGGGTTGGGATTTTTGGGAAACGCACCCCCCCCCATGGACAATCACGGCCTCTTCCCCCCACCCCCACCCCACAATGGGGGGGTTCTCCCTGCCGGGGGGACCCTCAGCTGCTGTCACACTGCCCGCCCCCCACCCCAGCGTGTGCGTGTGTCTGTGGGGGGCGCCCCCCGGTCAGGGGGACCCCCCCCAATGCAGGGGAACCCCTAATTAGAGGGGATCCCGCTAATTAAAGAGGGAACCCCCCATTTCGGTGCCTCCGCTCCGCTGGCCCCGCCCACTCCAGCCTGGCACGCGCGGGGCACGCCCCTTGGGGCGAGGCACGAGAGGGCTCCGCCCACCCTTTGGCCACGCCCATTTTCTCATTATGTCTTCGGGGCACTGACCCTGAAAGCCCCGCCCCTCACCAATTTTGGGGATGTGATGGGCGTGGTGTGCATGGCTCCACCCCCTGGCGGCGACCCCGCCCCTCCCACGCAGGCAGCGCTGGGCCGGGGGCGTCTCCCCAAGCCCCTCCTCTTTTGGGGCGTGTCCCCTCCGGGCCCCGCCCCTTTGTCCCCCCCGTCGCCCCCCCCCGTGGCCCCCGGGCCCCCCCCGGCCCATTCGCCCCAGCCCGGCCGCGCCATGAGCCACCTCGGGGCCCCGCTGCTGCTGCTGGGGCTGCTGGGGGCGCTGGGACCCCCCCCGGCCGCGGGGCAGGACCCGGGCCCGGCCCCGAGCCCCCACCCCACCGCCCGCCCCAACGCCACCAGGTGACGGCACTCCCCGGGCACCGGGACCCCTCCCCGGGCACCGGGACCCCCGGGTGGGGACGCGCCTTGGACGGGACGGGACCTCCCGGGCACCGGGACACCCCCCGGGGTGGGACAGGACACCCCCGAGACGGGACGGGACCCCCCGGTCACCGGGACACCCCCCGGGATGGGACAGGACCCTCGGACACCGGGATCCCTGGGACGGGACACCCCCGGGATGGGACCGGGCCTCCCCCAGAACGTGGCACCCCGGGATGGGATCGACACCCTCCGGGACGGCCCTTCCTCCCGGGACGGGACCGACCCCCTTGGCCGGGACAGGACACCCCTGTCCGGGACTCCCTCCTGGGACCACGGACCCCCCCTGGGCCAGGATCGGGAGCTGGGACCCCCCCCTCAGACCCGGGATCCCCCCAAGACCCTCCGGAACCAGGACCCCCCCTTAGCCCAGGGGAGAATCCTGGGACCCCCCAAGCTCGGGTTTTCCCCCCTGTCTGGGCCCCCCAGTGATCCCCCCGTGCCGTGTCCCCCCAGGCCGGTGTTCCCGTGTGGGGGGGACCACCGAGGGGAGTCGGGGTTCATCGCCAGCGAGGGCTTCCCCCGGCACTACCCCCCCAGCAGCAACTGCACCTGGACCATCACGGTATGGACCCCCCCGGGCACCCCAAACCCCCCCGGGCACCCCAAACCCACCTGGGGCACCCCAAACCTCCCCAGGGCACCCCACCTCCCTCACAGGGTACCCCCCCAGACCTTTCCAGGGTCACCCCAACCCCTCCGGGGACATCCCAACCCACCCCCTCGGTCACCCTGGAAGAGCCATCCCAGCTCTTCCCCCCCCTCCTGTCCCCAGGTGTCCCCACGTCCTGCAGGTGGCCAAAGGTCAGGTGGTGACACTGCCCTGTGTCCCCATGTCCCCCCGGTGTGACCCCATGTCCCCCCCCGGGACCCTCAAGGGCCGGGTGGTGACATCCCACTGTCCCCGAAGCCCCCACGTGCCCCCGTGTCCCTCAGGGTGAGGTGGTGATACCCCAAGGTGGGGTATCCCCAAGGTGGTGACACCCTGACCCCCCCCAATGTCCCCAAGGGCCAGGTGGTGACACCCTGACCCCCCCAATGTCCCCAAGGGTCAGGTGGTGACACCCTGAGCCCCCCAATGTCCCCAAGGGCCAGGTGGTGACACCCTGACCCCCCCCAATGTCCCCAAGGGCCAGGTGATGACACCCTGAACCCCCCCAATGTCCCCAAGGGCCAGGTGGTGACACCCTGAACCCCCCCAATGTCCCCAAGGGTCCAGGTGGTGACACCCTGACCCCCCCAATGTCCCCAAGGGCCAGGTGGTGACACCCTGAGCCCCCCAATGTCCCCAAGGGCCAGGTGGTGACACCCTGACCCCCCCCAATGTCCCCAAGGGCCAGCCGGTGACACTCCGGCCCCGTAATGTCCCCCCAGGTCCCCGAGGGCCAGGTGGCCACTCTGTCCTTCCGTGTCTTCGACCTGGAGCCGGACCCCCTGTGCCGCTTCGACTCGCTGTCGGTGTTCGGGGGGCACGGCCCGGGGGCGCCGCTCCTGGGGCGTTTCTGCGGCACGTTCCGGCCGGGGGCTCTGCGGGCCCCCCACAACCGGCTGCGGCTGCGCATGGAGAGCGACGGCGGCACGGCCGGGAGGGGATTCCTGGCCTGGTTCAGCGCCGGCAGCCCCCCAGCTAACGGTGAGAGACCGCCCCCCAAATCCGGGGGAGACTCTTTGGGGGCGCCCCCGAAAACCCGGGGGGCGAGGGACCCCCCTCGGGGGCACGGGGAGCACCGCCGGCGGAGAGCAGGGGCAATCCCAAAACACGTGGACACCCCCAAAACCCACGTGATGGAGACCCCCAAAAACACGTGGGGAACCCCAGGAACTTGCAGCGATCCCCCAGAGTCACGTGGAGACCCCAAACCCCTGCAGAGACCCCCAAAATCCCCCATGGAGCTGCCAAAAACACATGGAGACCCCCAAACCTCCATGGACACCCCTCAAGCCCCCATGGAGACCCCCAAAATTCATGAAGCCCCCCAAAAACCAAGTGAGAACCACTGGTGGAGAGCAGGGACAGCCCTAAAACACCCCCAGGGAGGTCCTGGGAGCTGTGGAGGGAAATGGGGAGAAAAGGGGAGGAAAAGAGGGTGAAAAGTGTGAAAAGGAAGGAAAAGTGTGAGGAAAAAAGGGGAGGGAAGAGGAGAAAGAGTGAGGGGGAAAATGTGAAAGTGAGAAGGGGAGGAGGAAATGGGGGAAGTGTGAGGAGAAAAGGGAAAGAAGAGGGGGAAAGGTGAGGGAAATAGGGAAAAAAGCCTGAGAGAAAAAGGAGGAAAAAGCTGAGGGGATAAAGAGGGAAAAACTGAGGAGAAAAGGAGGGAAAACTGAGGGGACGAGGCAGGAAAAGTGTGAGGGGGAAAAGGAAAAATAGAGGGAAAACTGTGAGGGGAAAATCTGAGAGGGAAAAGTGGGAGGGGAAAAGTGGGAGGGTAAAGGAGGGAAAAATTGAGGGAAAGTGGGGAAGAGTGCGAGGAGAAAAAGGGGGAAATGAGGGGGAAAGTGTGACGGGAGAAAGGAGGCAAAATGGGGAAAATCCTGAGAGGAAAAGGAGGGGAGAACTGAGGGGGAAATGGGTGAAAGAGGGGGGAAAGCGTGAGGGGGGAATGGGGGGATGTGGCAGGAAAACACGAAGGGAAACGTGGCCCAAAATGGAGGGAAAAGCTGAGGGGGAAAGGGGGGCAGGGGGAGCCGCCGGCGGAGAGCGGGGACACCCCGAGACACCCCCAAACCCACCCAGACCCCCGGGGAGAACCCCAGACCCCCCAGACACTCATCACACCACGTGGAGACCCCAAAAAACACACGGAGCCCCCCAAACCCTCATGGAGCCCCTGAAAACCCCCGTGGAGACCCCCCAAAACCACCCGGACCCTCCCCAGCCACCCTGCAGGGCCCCCCCCAACCCAGCCCAACCCTTTTGCAGGGCCCCCCCAGGGACGGCGGCGCTCGGGGGTCTCTAATAAACCCCATTTTTTCGGGGAGTCCTGGCACTATTTTGATGGTGAGTATGACCCCCCCCAGACTTACAAAAACATTCCCGGGGGGGGTCTTGCACCCCAAAAGTCTATTCCACACCCCCCCCCAATCCCAGGGTGGTTTTGGCAGAGCCCCCCCCCCAGTCCCCCCCTCCAAGGCCTCATTTTGGGGGTCTCAGGGACAGAGGAGTCGCCGGCGGTGCAGGAAGGGGGGGAAGGGGGGTCCCAGCATGTGTTTGCCCCCAAAATGTGACCCCCCTGCCCCCCCCCCAGAGCACCAGTTTTGTGGGGGGCGGCTGGAGAAGCCCCAGGGAAGCCTGAACACCCCAAATTGGCCAGAGGAGAATTATCCCCCCGGGATCAGCTGCTCCTGGCACATCGTGGCCCCCCCCGACAAGGTTTGGGGGGCCCGGGGGGGCTTGGGGGGGTTCAGAAGGGGGTTTTTTTGGGGGGAGGTCAGGGGTGGTTTGGGGGTGTCAGGAGGGTTTGGGGAGGTCAGAAGGGGGTTTTGGGGAGACACCAGGAGGGTGGGGGGGGTCAGGAGGGGTTTGCAGGTGTCGGGGGGGGAGTCAGAGGGGGTTTGAGGGGGACAGGGGAGGTTTGGGGGGGTCAGAAATCGTTTGGGGAGGGGTCACAGGAGGATTTGGGAGGGGTTAAAGAGAGACCAGGATGGTTTGGGGGGGGGGGGCAGGAGAGTTTTGGGGGGGTATCAGGAGGGTTGGGGGGATCCGAGGGGGTTCAGAGGGGGCGGGGGCGGTCCGGGTGTTGAGCCTGACTTTTTGGGGGGTCCGTGCCCCCCCAGGTGGTGGAGCTGCGGTTCGGGAAGTTCGACGTGGAGCCCGACCCCCACTGTCGCTACGACTACGTGGCCGTGTTCGAGGGGGGGGCGCGGGACGACGCGCGGCGCCTGGGGCGGTTCTGCGGGGAGGAGACCCCCGGGTGAGCCCCCCCGGACCCTGCCGAGCCCCCCCAACCTGCTCCAGCCACCCCCAAACCTGCCCAACCCCCACAAACCCACCCTGAACCCCCCTAAATCCAGCCTGATTCCCCCCCTCCAAACCAGCCTGACCCCCCCCAACCAGCCCCGACATCGACCGGATCCCCCCCAGCCCCCCTTGGACCCCACTCAGGACCCTCCCAACCCCCCCAAATTCCTCCTGATCCCTCCAAACCATCCTGCCCCCCCCTTACACCCCTCCTGAACCCCCCCAAACCCTCCCCTTTCCCCTCCCACACCGCCCCAAACCCACCCAGGACCCCCCCAAAACCCCCTTCCGACCCCCCCAGCCCCCCCGCGATCCCCCCCAACCCCTTCTGACCCCCCCAACCCCACCTTGGACTCCCCCAAACCCCCTCCCAACCGCCTGAACCCCCATGATCCCCCCCCAACCCCCACCCTGGCCCCCCGCCCGCCCTCGCCCCGACCTCCCCAAGCCCCCGCTGACCCCCCCGTGCCCCCCCAGCCCCATCGTCTCCACCAGCCCGGAGCTGCTGGTGCAGTTCGTGTCCGACCTGAGCGTCACCGCCGACGGTTTCTCGGCCTCCTACACCCTGCGGGACCGGGGGAGCCCCCCCGAGCCCCCCCCGAGCAAACCCCGGGGGGGCGGCAAAGGGAAACCCGCCCCCAGCCCCAAACCGGGACCCCCCCCCACGGCCCCCCCCGGCCCCGCGGGGACCCCCCCCTGCCCCCAGCGCTGCCGCCGCGCCGGGACCCTCCAGAGCAACTTCTGCAGCAGCGACTTCGGTGAGAGACCCCCGGAATTGGGGGGGGGACCCCGAGATGGGGGGGGAGCGTGGGGGGGAACCCGAACTGGGGAGGGGGGGGTGCAGAAGAAAATCCTCCAAAAATGAGGGATGGGGGTGGGTGAGGACCCCCAAAATAAGGGGATGGGGGTGGGTGAGGACCCCCAAAATGAGGGGTGGTGGTGAAGAAACCCCATAAAATTGAAGGATGAGAGTGGGTGGGGGACCTCAAAATGGGGGGGGGATGGTGGCGAACCCCCCAAAACAGGGGGATGAGGGTGGGTGGGGGCCCCCAAAGTGGGGTTATGGGGAGGGTATGGCTGCGCCCCCCCCCAAACCTGCCGGGGGGGGGGGTGTCCGAGGTTTTGGGGTGCCTGACCTCCCCCCGCCCTCAGTGCTGACCGGGACGGTGAAATCGGTGTCGCGGGGGCCCCCCCAGGAGCCGGGCTGGGCCGTGGTGTCCGTGCTGAGCGTCCCCAAGGCGGGGGGGCTGGGGGTCCCCACCCCCGCCAAGGGGGCCACGCTGCGCCTGCAGCTGCCCTGCCGCCTCTGCCCCGCGCTCAAGAAAGGTGGGTGCCCTCGGGGGGGTGGGGTGGGGTCTCTCTGGCCCCCCAGACCCCTGACACCCCCCCCTCCCCCCCAAATCTCTTCCAGGCTCCAGCTACGTCCTGATGGGGCGGCTGGGGGGGGACGGGGTGGCCCTGCTGCCCCCCGACGCCTTCGTGGTCCCGTATCGGCCGCAGCAGCAGCAGGTCCTGGGGAACCTCAGCAAGAGGCCGTGTCGGGGGAGCCCCTGAGACCCCCCGCCTCGACCCCCCGAAACTGGGGAACGCCCCCCTACACACATATGCAAATAAAGGGTGCAGAGCTGGAGCGTGCGAGTGATGGGGGCGGGGGGACACAGACGGACCCCTCCCACCGTGGGGGAGCCCCGGGGGGGGGGGGGGGGGGCCGTTTCCCTTCCCCCCCCCTTTAAATCCCGGGACGCGGCTCCTTTAAGAGCCGGGGGCGGGTCTTGTGGGAGGGGGCGCGGCCTTCTCTTGCGGAACGTGCCTTCTGATTGGCTACCGGGGGTTCCTCCCCCTTGTCCCCCCCACGGGTCAGGTGGCCTGTCAATTATCGCACCCACCAGCTGTGATTGGTGAAGCCGTCGTGCCCCGCCCCCTTACTGGACTTTAATTGCTGCAAACCGGATTGGTTGGTGACATGTCAATCACGTGCCTTGTCCCTGCCTTCTCGAACACCATTGGCTAACTCCGCATAAACATCTGGGTGGGACGTTGCCGGGCAACGAGCTCCGCCCTGTCCCTCGCGATTGGTGGAGATCTGGTTCTCTCTCTAGTCTCCGCGCTGCAATTGGTTCTTCTCTCTATCCATCAAAGCCCCCTGCCCTCACCCTCTCCGATTGGCCACCTCTCCGCGCGCCCCGCGCTCCGATTGGCTGCGGCGCCGGCTCCGCCCCCCCGCGGCGGGGCCCCGGAAGCGTCCGGCGCTCAGTCGGGCGGCGGCGGCCGCGGCGAGCGGAGCTCCGCGCCCACCATGGCCGCGGGGGCCGCCACGGCTGCGCTGCCGCCGCCGCTCCTGGGCCGCCCGCCCGGCGGAGGCGGCACCGAGCGCGCCCTGGAGGAAGCGGCGGCCTCCGGCACCCTCAGCCTGGCCGGGCGGAGGCTCCGCGCCTTTCCCGCGGCGGCCGCGCGGCGCTGGGACCTGAGCGACACCACACAGGCCGGTGAGGAACCCCCGGCGCTTCCCTGCGCGGGGTCACTCGGGGGGGGCTGTGGGTGCCCGTCCCGAGGCGCCTCCCGGAGCCCGAGGCCCGCGGGAGGTGCCGGGGGCGGGTGAGGAGGAGCCGGGAGGGGACGGGACGAGCCGGAGCGCCTGGTCCGGGCGGTCCGGCGGCCTCGGCTTCCCCCTCCCAGCCTGGGGGGAAACCGGCCCTGGGGGGACCCCGATCAAGGGAAGGGATGGAGGTGACATCGGCACCGAAGGACCCGGGGATCCCTGTCCTGCCTGGGGATCTCTGTCCACATCAGGTCCGTGGGGATCCCCTGTCACCTGTCCCCCTCCCTGGGGATCCTTGTCCTCATCAGTCCCCATTCCTGGGGTTCCCTGTCACCTGTCCTTGGCCCTGGGGAGCTCTGTCCAGATCAGTCCCCTTCCCTAGGGTTCCCTCTCCCTCTCCCTGGGGACCTCTGGCCCTCTTGGTCCCCATCCCTGGGATCCCCCATCCCTGAGTCTCTCCGTTCCTTGTCCCCCCACCCTCGGGGTTCCCCATCCCTGTTCCCCCCGTGTCCCCCCAGACCTGTCCCGGAACCGTTTCGGGGAGGTCCCCGAGGCCGCCTGTCACCTCTTCTCCCTGGAGGGGCTCAGCCTGTACCACAACTGCCTGCGCAGCGTCCCCCCGGCCATCGCCAACCTCCAGGCCCTGTCCCACCTGGACCTCAGGTACGACCCACCTGCTGGGGAGTATTTGGGACCCGACAGCCCCCCGTGACCCCCCCGGTGTCTCCCCCCCAGCCGGAACCAGCTGAGCTCGCTGCCCTCCTGCCTGTGCCTCCTGCCCCTGCGCGTCCTCAACGCCAGCAACAACCGCCTGGCGCAGCTGCCCCCGAACCTGGGGGCCCTGCGGACGCTGCGGCAGCTGGTGAGCGATGGAGGGAGGGGGGGAACCCCCTGGGGACCGCCCCGGGCCGGGCCTGACCCCCCCTTTCCCCGCAGGACGTCGGGTGTAACCGGCTGCGGGCGCTGCCCCCCGGGCTGGGGCAGCTGCGGGCGCTGCGGGACCTCAACCTCCGGCGGAACCAGCTCACGGCGCTGCCCCCGGGTGGGTGGGGGTTCGGGGGGGTCCCCCCTCCCTGAGGAGCCCTCCTTGATCCCGTGTTTATTATTTACCCCCCCTCAGAGCTCTCAGAGCTGCCCCTGGTCCGCCTGGATTTCTCCTGTAACCGGGTGGTCGCGATTCCTCGCTGCTTCCGGAGGCTCCGGCACCTCCAAACCCTCCTGGCCGACAACAACCCCCTGCAGTTCCCCCCCGCCCAGGTGAGGGGGGTGCCCAGGGGGATCCCCCGGAGCCCCCCAAGCCCCCACCTGACCCCTGCTCCCGCCCTAGGTTTGCCTGAAGGGCAAAGTTCACATCTTCAAGTACCTGCACTTGGAGGCCGAGGCTGCCGCCCACCCCCCCCCGGCGTGGTAAGGAGGGGCTCAAAGAGGGGGGACCCCGTTAACCACCCCCCCCGCTGGTTTTTGGGGTCTCCCAGCCCTGTTTGCCCCCCACAGCCCCCCGGACGAGCTGTGCCCCCTCCGGCAGCGGGGAGGGCTCGACTCCGGCTTCCACAGCGTCGACAGCGGCAGCAAACGCTGGTCGGGGAACGAGGTGGGACCTGGGGGGGCTCCGGGGGCGTTTGGGGCCTCGGGGGGGCCCAGGGGGAGTTTGGGGTGTTCCCCAGGCCAACCCCCCCATCCCCTGGCATCCTTTCTCCACCGTTTCAGTCCACGGATGAGTTTTCGGAGCCGCCCCACCAGCTCAGGGAGAGTCGCAGCAGGGCAGGTGAGGGGGGTGGGGACCCTCGGGGACCCCCTGTCACCCCCCCGGGGCAGTGTCACCCCCCCCAGGGACCACCTGTCACCCGCCTTGTCCCCACAGCTGGTGACAGTGACCCAGAGCTGGTCGAGGAGGAGCCCCCGCCCAAGGTGACGTCCCCCAGCCCCCCTTTGCCCCCTCTCTGAAATTTTGGGGTTCAATCCCAAACCTTGGACCCCCCCTGAACCCCAGGGCCCCCCCTTGTGTCCCCCCAGGAGCAGCAGGGCCGGACCCCAAGAGGTGACACCCCCGAGAGTGGCAGGTGAGGGGGCCGGGGGGTTCAGGGAAGGTTTGGGGGTTCAGGTGGGAGGTTGGGGGGTCTCTGCTGATCCCCCCTCCACCCTCAGGGTGGTCCCCGTGTCCCGGCGGCGCCCCCAGAACCTGGAGGTGTGGAGGGAGAGGGAGAGGAGCCGGGACAGGTACGGGGTGAGCCCTGTTGGGAATTTGGGACTGGGGAGGGACAGGACTGGGGACAGGGGGACAGGGAAGGGCAGGAGGGACTGGGGGACGGGGATTGTGGGTTTGGGGGGGGGAATTGGGGACTGGGGGACGGGGATTTGTGGTGGGTTTGGGGGGGGGAAATTGGGGACTGGGGGACGGGGAATTGTGGGTTTGGGGGGGGAGAATTGGTGACTGGGGGACGGGGATTGTGGGATTTGGGATCGGTAATTGGGGATTGAGGGTGGAGCTGAGGACAGGGATGGGGAGTGAGGGGGCAAACTGGGACAGGGCTGGGGCTGGGATTGGGGGTGGGACAGGGGACAAGGGGGGTGGGACTTGGGATAGGGGTGGGACAGGGGACAAGGGGGGTGGGATTGGGGATAGGGGTGGGACAGGGGACAAGGGCCAGGCACTGGCTGCTTTCCCCCCCCAGCCCCCCAGAGCCCAGGACCCCCCGGCAGAGACCCCCCCGGACGTCACCGGAGAGGACAGGGGTGACCTCGGTAGGCTCAGCTCTAATTAACTCACGTCTTAATCACTCCTCCCCCCCAGGCTCAGCCCTAATTAACATGAGAATCTTAATAACTTCTCTGTGCCTCCCCCAGGACCCGGATGGAGCCCCCGACCCCCCGAAACCCAGTACCTTCCTCTCCCCTTCCTCCTCCTCCTCCTGCTCCCACGGTGCCCCCAAACCAGGTAGGACACCCCCCCACACACAGGTACCCCCTCGTGCCCCCCCACCCTGTGACCCCCCCGAATCTGCCCCCGCAGCCCCCCCGGACCCCGACGAGCGGGAGTTGATCGCTGAGATGCGCCAGGTAACGACTGGGGGGGGGAAAATCCTCCTCCCCACCCCTCTTTCTTTATTTTCGGAGGGTTTGGGGGGTCTGTGCCCCCCCTGACGTGTTTTGCCCCCCCCCAGAGCCTGGAGGCGCTGCTGCAGCTGCGGCTCCCGGAGGAACTGGGGGACTCGGAGCTGCTCGGCCGCGTGGCCGCTCGGCTGCGGCCCTGGGCTGTGCCCCCCCGAGTGAGTGGGACCCCCAAACACCCCCTGACCCCCCCCCAAAACAACTCCACCCTCTCCTGTGACCCCTCTTTCTTCACCCCCAACCCCCCCACACCAAACCGCTCTGGAGCCCCTTAAACTTCCCCCCCCCAGCCCTCTTTTTTTGTTTTTACCCCACTTACCCTCCCCGCCCCCACAATCCCCCCCTGACCCCCCCGTTTCCCCCTCCCAGAGCCCCCCCAGCACCCACGGGAGCGCGCAGCCCTTCCCCCCCCGCCGGCGCCCGGGGGTCCCCGAGGTACCGTTTGGGACGGGGACGTTGATTTGGGGGGCGGGGGTGGTGCGGGGGGGGCCGTGTCCCCCCCTCTGACGTGGGGCGTTCCCCCCCCTCCTCAGGTGAAGCCCCCAACCCCCCGGCGTCCCCCCCCCGGGCTGCTCTTCGCCCTCTTCTACGGCCTCCTCATGGCGCTGCTCGTCGCTGCCCACCGCGCGCTCTTCGGCTGCTGAGGGACCCCCAGAGCCCCCACACCCCGGGGAACCCCCCAAATCCCGGGGAACCCCCCCAGACCCCGGGGAAACCCCCCACACCCCGGGGGAACCCCCTCAAACCCCGGGGGAACCCCCCAAATCCCGGGGGAACCCCCCACACCTCGGGGGAACCCCCTCAAACCCCAGGGAACCCCCCCACACCCCGGGGGAACCCCCCAAACCCCGGGGGAACCCCCTCAAACCCCGGGGAACCCCCCCACACCTCGGGGGAACCCCCCAAACCCCAGGGAACCCCCCAAACCCCGGGGAACCCCCCACACCCCGGGGAACCCCCCACACCTCGGGGGAACCCCCCACCCCCCCCACCTCGGGGGAACCCCCCAGACCCCGGGGAACCCCCTCAAACCCCGGGGGAACCCCCCAAGCCCCAGGGGAACCCCCTTTCCACGCTTTCCCCACCCTTTCTTGTGCCTTAACGCTGGGGAAACTGAGGCAGGGAGGGGGGAGAGGGGGTGACCCCCCCCTTCACCCCCTCCAGGGTGAGACCTTCCCCTTAATTATTATTATAATTAATTATAATGAGTTATTATCACAAGCTATTATTATTACAGTGAGCTGCTACTATAATGAGTTATTATAATATTATTATAATGATTTATTATTATAATGATTTATTATTTTAATGATTTATTATTTTACTGAGTTGTTATTATAATGAGTTATTATAATTATGGTGAGTTGTTATAAACGACCACGAGCATAATGAGTTATTTTAATGGTTATAATTAAGTGTAAATTAATTGTTCTGAGAGGATGTTAAAAAAAAAAAAATACACACGATGACCCAAATTTATTATGATTAATTATTATTAAAATTATTCTATTTAACTACGATTATTATCTGATTATTATAATTAATTATAATAATCGTTGTTCTAAGTATTGTCACACCCCCCCAAAATTATACTTGGTACATCCCTGTCTCTGTGTGACTTTTGGAGGGTTTGAGGTGTGGTAAAACCGGGGGGGGGTCACTAGTTTTGGGGAGGGGTCAGTCCCGCCCCTCCCCCGCTGCTCATCTGCTCAGCTTTTTGTGTTTTTGTCCGTTTTTGTCCCTTTTTGTCCGTTTTTGCCTTTTCTGTGCCCAAACGGGGCCTCTGCCCCCAACGCTGTGCTGCGCCCCCTCCTCTAATGAACCCCCACTAATTAATTACGCCCTTGCCCCAGCAGGTGCTGGAGGAGCCGAACCGGGGGGGATTTTTGGGGGTCCCCCCACCCCGGGACCCCCCCTAATTCCAGGCCCCCCAACCCTCAGCGAGGCCCCGCCCCCAGCGCAGACCCGGCGCTCTCATTGGCTGAGCGGTGAAGCCGCGCAGGCGCCGCCATCTTTGTTGAGGGCGGGCGGCCACTCTCCCCGGGGCGCCGCCATCTTGGCTGAGGGCAGGGCGGGCCGAGTGAGGCCCCCGGGCGCCATCTTTAGTGAGGGCAAAGCCCCTCCCGCCCCCAACCCGGGGCCGCCACGAATTTGGGATTTTGGGGGGGATGAGGCCCCTTAGCGGGGGTTCGGCTCGAGGGAGGTGCCGAGAGCGGAGCTGTTTCTATCCAATATATATTAAGATCTCGCCATAAATCTCTCAAAATAAAAATAAAACCTGGTCCTGGTGGAGGCGGGGGGGGGGGAGCCCCCCACGATTTGGGGGGCGCCTGGGCCGAGCCCCCCCGCCCCGGGGCGGCCGCTATAGGAAGGGGTTGGTGGTCGGGTGCCTGATGCCCAACGGGGCCGTCGGGGCCGTCTGGGGGGGCAATAAAAAAGGGGGGTGTCAGGGGCAGAGAGGGGGGTCAGGACCCCCCCCCCAGCCCTCTCCTTACCACGAAGGGGTTGGTGGAGGCTTTGGCAACGTTGAACCCACCAAAAGGCGACGCTGGGGGGGCAAAATGGGGGGGTCAGTGGTGGGGGGGAGAGAGTACCCCGATATTTAACACCCCCAATATTTAACAACCCCCCCCCAGCTCTTACCATCAGCCTGGAAGGGGCTGGGGAACCCCCCGGGCACCGGGGGGGTGGTGAAAGCGGCACCTGAAGGAGGGGACACAGAAATGGGGCCCCCCCGGACCCCACCCCGGCCCAGGGTGGGTGTGGGGGGTGCAGGGAGGGGGGACACTCACCAGGGCCGTTGCTCTGGAAGGGGTTGGTGGAGGGTCGGGGGGTCACGAAGGGGTTGGTGTAGCCTGGGGGGGGCACAGGGGTCACCCCGGGGCCCCCCCTCACTTTGGGGGGGTCCCAATGGGGGGGTGAACCCTGACTTACCCCCATAGGGTGGAGCTGGGGGGGGGCCCAGGGTCCCGAAGAGGCTGTGGGGGGAGGAGGGGTGAGTGGGGTGTGGGGGGGGGCAGATCCTCCCCACCCCCACCAGGTGAGGGGGGGAAGGAGGGAGGCAGTACCTGGAAGAGGCTCCACCCCCTGTGGGCGGGGCTGAGATGGCCCCACCCCGAGCAGCAGCGATTCCTGTGGGTGGGAGAGACAAACACACGGGGGGACCCCAGAAACCCCCTGGGACCCCCGAGAGGGACAGAGCCCCCCCAGCTCTCCCCCCATTAACCCTCACTGGGGACCCCATTAATGGCCACATTCATCCTGGGAGTTCTGTGGGTGGGAGGGAGCCCCAAACCCCCTCCCCATTAGCCCTGAGGGTCCCAGGGGTTCCCAAATCCTTCCCCCTGAGCCCCACGGGTACCGCGGGGACACCAAACCCCTCTCCAGCCCCCCCAAGGAATGAGGGGACCCCCATCTCCCCCCTTCCCATTAATCCCAAGCACCCCAAGGCTGTATGGGGACTCCAAGCCCCTCCCCAGGCCCTGCCAGGGAGACCCAAACCCCTTTCCCAGGAGTCCCGGGAGGTCCCGGGCTACCTGTGGCGGTGGGAGGGGTGTGGAAGGGGGGCCCAGCCCCCCCAAACGTGGGTGCTCCCAGGGTGGCTCCGAAGGCATCGAAATGGGGGAAGGCAGAGTGGGGTGGGGCCGGGCCTGGGGAGGCTCAGAGTCACCCCAAAGGCCCCCCAGGGCTTCAGAGCCAGCGACCTGCTGGTCACCAGCCCCTCTGTGTGTGAGCAGGACCCTCCCAGCCCCCCCAGCTCACCGGGGAAGGCGGCGAAGGTGGGTCCCAGGGTGGGGGTGGCAAAGGGGTCCCCCCCAATGTCTGCCAGGAGGTCGGTGCTGGATTTTCGGGGGGGCTGGGGGGGTCTTTGGGCGGCTGGGCGGGGCTGGAGGGGGGCACAGAGATGTCAGGGGTGGAACCCTTCCCCCGGGCACCCCTAAAACCGGTCCAGTCTCACCTGTGGCAGCGTCCCCGTGTCCCCCAGGAGCAGCTGGGGGGCCTCCGTGGTGCTTTGGGGGGGTTTCACTTGCTCTGGGGCCACGTACCTGCCGTGGGGGGAGGGGCACAACGATGAGGGTGTGCCCACGCTGTCCTGCTGCCCACAAAAGGTGCCCCCAACCCCCCCAGTACCATCGTTTCTTCTCGTATTTCTCCTGCAGGAACTCCTTGACCTTCTGGGGGTCCCGGGAGTCGGGGAGCTCCGAGATCCGGGGGTCGAAGGTGCCGAGCCAGACCCGTCGGCAGGCCTGGGGAGAAACGGGGTGAGGTGGGCGGGGCGAGAGGGAGGGGGCGGAGCCCCCCCTGCCGCCACCTCCCGTTACCTCATTGCCGCGCTCCTGCAGGAACAGCACCTCTGCCTCGCTGAACGTCGTCATGGAGATGGACTTGACGCGGTGGGGGGGGTTCAGCCCCCGCCTGGGGAGGGGATTCTGGGGGTCAGCGCCGCCCCCGCACCAGCAAACCCCCTAAAAGGAGGTTTTTCCCCCTAAAACGCCGGACTATTGACGACACCCAGGGGTACGCACGTGCTTGGGCCACGCCCCCTTCCCATAAGCCCCGCCCCCAGCAAACGCAGCCAATCAGTGACTGAGTTACCATCTTGGCCCCGCCCTTGCTGTGACCCCGCCCTCCCACTTGCCCCGCCCCCCTCCGGCCCCGCTCACAGCGCCCCCGAGCAGGCGGTGCACACGAGGCTGCCCACGCTGATGTCCACGTAGGTGACGCCGCGCTGGCCGCACTCGAAGCAGAGCCGGTTGGCGGGGGCCGCGCTCACCAGCTCCCGCACCCGCCGGCACCAAACCTCGGCCTCCGCGTCCCGGCCCGCGCTGCCCCTGCGGCCCCCGGGGCCTCCGCTGGGCCCCGCTCCGGGGCCTGGGCCGCCGCCTCCGCCCGCCGCCATCTTCCCGCTCCCGCGGGGCCCCGCCCCCGCCGCAGCGCCGCCGCTGATTGGCCGCGCCCCGCGAGCAGCGCCCCCTGGCGGCTCGCGCCGTGCGCCGCGGCTCTTCCCGCCCTTTTTCGTCCCCTCAGCGCTACCCCCCCCCCCGTGAGCGGATTCGACACCAACGCGGCTTAAAAACACCCAGTTTTAGGGCCGTTTCACCCAAATTCAGCATTGTCCACCAGTCCCGGCTCCCCCCCGGTGTGAAGGGAGGGGGATCTGGGGAGTTTCTGCCCCCTCACCCTTTTTGTCCCCTCAGCAACCCCCATCCCCCCCCCCCCAGTGTTTTACCGCCGAACACAGGGAAAATCCTCCTCTTTTTGGGGTCGTTTTCTCACAAATTCTCTGTGATTCTCCCTCATTTTGTGTCATTTCCCCACAAATCCCCTATTATTCCCCCTCCCACCCCATGTCGTGAGTTGTTCTGGGAGGTCCCAGTCCCCTCTTTGGGGTGCCCTCCCGTCCCGTCCCAAACAGGCGTTTCCAGCTGCTTCTCTCTTTAATAGTGCACAGAACCACGTTACAAAACCCCTCGGCCCCCCGACCCCCCCCCAAACTGGGGCCCCCCCGGACCCCGCGGGGCGAAGGCAATTCTGGTACCGGGGGGCGCGGGGGGGGGATGAGGCACAGAGGGCCCGGGGGGGTCCCGGGACAGGGTTGGGGAGGGTCCTTTGCCCCCCAAACTCCCAGTGGTCCCCCCCCCAAAATCCCAGGGGAGATCCCCCCTCCCCTCGTACCCTTCCCCCGCACTGGGGGTCTCCCCCCGACAACCCCCACCCCCCCACAGGCCGCACCGCGGACCCCCGTCGTCGAACCCCCTCCCCGGCCCCTGCTTGATGCACCCCCATAAATACCCCCCCATAAATACATTGCAAAGCAGTTACAGCACCCCCCCGGGCCGGGGGAGCTGAACCCCCGGCTGAGGGGTGACCCCCCTCTTTTAGGGGGACTGGACCCCCCTAGTGAGGGGTGACCCCCCCCTTTTATTGGGGAGCTTTGCCCCCCTTTATAGGGACCCCCCAGTTCATGGGGGGGCTTTAACCCCCGGGGGGGACTGTACCCCGATATTGAGGCTCGACACCCCCATATTGGGGGGATTTAATCCCCCTTAATCAGGGGCTTGACCCTGCCCCCCTTTTTGGGGTCTCTCCCCCCACTTATTGGAGGTCCCTCCCTGTTACCCCAGGGGAGGGGGGGTCTCCATCTTCCCCCCCCTTATTTTAGGAGCGTACGTTCCTCCCTCCTTATTTAGGAGGGGGGCTCATCATACCATAAATACCCCCCCAGTTCCTCCCCAACCCGGCCCAGCCGTGTCGCCCCCCCCTCACTTCAGGAGCCCCCCTTTACCCTTAGGAGCCCCCCCTCTAATTTTGGGGGCCCCCCCGGCCCCGGGGGTGGTTTTTGGGGTGCTCCAGGCACCCCGGGGGGGGGTCAGATTGCGGTGTCCCAGAGCACGGCGTGGGGGCGTCGGGCCGGGGGGGTGCCGGGGGGGGGGGGGGGGGGGGGGGGGCGACCGTCGGGGGCAGATCCCCCCCCTTTCCAGGCGGGGGGGGCGGGCAGGGGGGGCAGGCTGTCCTGCTTGCACAGCCCCCCCCCCCGCCCCCCCCGCGCCTTGATCTCGGTGCAGACGCAGCGCTTTCGGTCGATCACCTCCTGCAGCTGCCCGTCCCGCGGGCGGGGGGCGGCGACGGGGACCCCCCCGGGGCCCCCCGACCCCGCCGAGGGGACCCCCCCGGAGAGGGGCCGTGACGGGTGCGGGCCGCGGGGGAACGGGGGGGCCCCGGCCTGGCGGACCCCCGAGGTGGAGGCGGAACGGCCCAGGCGGGGACCCCCGGGCAGCTCTGGGGGGTGAGGAGGGGGGGTGTCAGGGGGGACACGGTGGCCGCCCCGGCACCCCCATTGTGTCCCCCCTTCCCCAGCAAAAGCGGCTCCCAGCCCAGATCTCTGAACGTTCCCCTGAATATCCCCATTCCATCCTGTAACGTGCCCCTCCCAGTGCCCCCCAGTGCCCCCATCTGCCCCAAAATATCCTCGTGTCCCCCCCCAGCACCCCCAGCCTGTGACCCCTGTCCCCTGCCATGTCCCCTGTGTCCCGCCCTCCCCTCCAGTGGCCCCATGTCCTCCCCTCATGTCCCACCCCGCGTTCCCCTGTCCCCCCCGTGCCCCCCCACTGTGTCCCCCCCTCTCTGTCACCCCCCGTCCCCCCCCTCCATACCCGAGGCTCTCCCGCAGGCGGGGAAGGTCTGGCAGGGCACGGGGGGTCCGGGCCGCCCCCGCGGCCCCTCAGCCCGGACAGGGATCCCAGAGGGGGGGGGTCCCGCCCCTGCCCCCCCCCGCTCCTCCCGGGGGGGCTCCGGCGCCTCTGGGGGGGAAGGTCCAAATCAGGGGGCGTGTCCGCACCACAAACCCCGCCCCCGAGGGGCGTGGTGTAACGAAAAAAGCCCCGCCCCTCCCCTTGACTCACTGTCGGGTTCTTTCCCGCGGCGAGACGAGGCTCCACCCACCCGGCGGAGGGGCGGGTCCTCCTCGCGCGGGGGGGCGGAAACTGCGGCGGCCACGCCCCCTCTCAGGCTGTCGTAGGAGGGCGGGCGCTTCCCGGGGGGCGGGGCCTCAGCCGGGGGCGGAGGGAGGGGCAGCGGCCCGAGCCCCGCCCCGCCCCCGCGCTCCCGCCCCGCCCCCCCTGCGTGATGCGGTGGGAGGGGCGTGGAGTGGCTGCGTGCGCGCGCGGGGGGCGGGGCCTCGCGGCGCTGGGGGAGGGGCAGGCGCGACGCGACCTCGGGGGGCGGGGCTAGCGGAGGGGGGCGGGGTGGAAGCAGGTTCGGGAAGGGCGGAGGAATGGGGGCGGGGCCAGAGAAGGGGGCGTGGCCGATGATAGGGGTGCGGCCCGTGTGGGGGGGGTGACCGGAGAAAGGGGCGTGGCCCGCATAGGGAGAGTGTCCGTAGTGCGAGAAAGGGGCGTGGCCACCGTGTGAGGAGGCGTGGCCGCGGAAGGGGGTGTGTCCGGTGAAAGGGGTGTGGCCAAAGCCCGGCCCCTCCCCCGCGGGCAGGGGGCAACTCATCTCCTCGTAAATGGCCTCGGGCTCCTCCGGGGGAGGGGGGGGCGCTCCCGCCGGCCCCCCCCGCCGGGGGTCCCCCCCGAGGCCCCCCCGCGCGTCCCCCACCATCTCGATGTACACAGGCTCCTCCCCCTCCTCCCCCTCCCCGGCCGAGGGGGGGGGCGGCGGGGGGGCCCCTCCTGACAGACGGGTCTGGGGGCTCCGCGAGGGCTTCAGGGGGGGGGTCTGGCGCACGCAGCCCCCCCGGGGGGTGCCTGGGGAGGGGAGGGGGCTGTTAGCGAGGGTGGAACACCCCCCTTTTCCCCCAACCCCCAGGAAGCCACTCCCTGCACCCCAAACCGCCCAAACCCCCTCTCTACCCCCCAAAGCCCTGGAATCCACTCCCTGATCTTTAGACCCCCCCAACCCCCTCCCTGCCCCCAAGCCCTCTGAACCCCTTCCCTGACCCCAAAGCCCCCAAACTCCCCTTTCTACTCCCAAACCTCTCCTGAACCCTCTCAATGTCCCCAAAACCACCTCCCTGTCCCCCAAACGAGCCCCTTCTCTGCCTCCCAACCCCTCCCATGTCCCCTTCCCCAAATATCTCCCCGTGCCCCCCCGCCCCACTCACCCCCCCTCTTGGCGGGTGGTGCCTCGAGCCCCCTCCCCTCGGGGGGTCCCGTGCGGGGGCCGGGTGGGGGGCGCAGGGGGGGCCCCCCGGGGTCGGGGAGCCCCACGGCGTGGCAGGACAGGGAGCGGGGGGCCATGCCGGGGGTGCAGGGCCGGGGGCCGCGCTCTTGGGGCGCCGGCAGCGTCAGGAACCCCACGCGCAGCGGGCGCCGCAGAGACCCCCCGTCCCGAGCCTTGGGGGCCCTGGGGGGAGAAAGGGGGGGTCATGGGGCCCCCAAAGTCTCTGGGGATGCCCCAATTTGCCCAAAGAACCTTCTTGACCCCCCCCGGGGGGGACCAGTGGGGTACAGGGGGGAGTCCAACCTCCATTGGTGCACTGTCCCCCACCTTAGGGGGTCCTGTGGTCCCCCCAGGAGCCTTCTGGGGTGCAGGGTGGGTCAGGGGTCCTGGGATTCCTCCATGGATCCCAGGGCAGACTTGGGTGTCCCACCAGGGTGGTCCCTGTGTGGGTCAGGGATCCCAGTGTCCCCCCAGGGTGGTCCCCCTAGGGGTGTTCAGGGTGGGTCAGGGGTCCCAAGTTTTCCTCCTAGGGTAGTCCTGTGAGGTCCCGGGTATTCCCAATAACCCCTAGGAGGTCTCGAGATCTCGAGATGGTCCCACTGTCCCCCCAGTGTGTCCCCCCTCTCCCCGGGGGTCCCTGTCCCCTCCCGGGGTGGGCCGGGGGTGGTCCCGATGTGCCATCAGCGTGGTTCCAGGGTGGCTCAGGGATCCCAGTGCCGCTCCGGGGTGGGTTGGGGGTGGTCCCACTGTCCCCCCCGTGTGTCCCCGCGCCCCCTCCGCCCCCGTGTCCCCCCTCACCCCTTCCTGGGCTCCTCCTCGCGGGGTCTCCACTCGGGGCGTCCCTTGCGCTGGAGCAGCCCCGCGGCGGCCGCTGGGGGGCGCTCCTCGCCCAGGCGCAGCAGGGTCACGGCGGCCGCTGGGGGGCGCTCCTCGCCCAGGCGCAGCAGGGCGGCGGCGGCGGCCGCGAGCTCCGACCGCGGGGGGGCGCTCATGGCTGGGGCGGGGCCGGTCAGAGACACGCCCCCGGAGCGATGACCACGCCCCTGGAGCGATGGCCACGCCCACAGCCCAGCCTGGGGTCCCCCCACCAAACCCAGTGCTGGGGTCCCTCCCGGACCCCCCCCGCCCAGTACCGGGGTCCCTGGACCCCACCCGAACCCAGCCCCATCCTAATCCTGGACCCCCGAGGGACCCGGGTACCCCCCTACCAGTCCCACCAGGACTCCCGGGGTTCCCAGTGACCCCCCACATCCCAGTCCCGGGGTCTCCCATCCCAGTCCTGGGATCCCATCGCCCCACCCGGACCCAGCCCCATCCCAGTCCCGGACCCCCGAAGGACTCAGTGCCCCCCCATCCCAGTCCTGGGGTCTCCCAACCCCACTCGGACCCCGCCCCAGCCCTTTGGTCCCAGAGCCCTCTCCCCCCAGCCCAGTCCAGAGCCCCCGCCATCCCAGTCCTGGGATCCCACAGCCCCACCCGGACCCCCGGGGGTCCCAGCGCCCCCTCCCCCGGGTCCCTCCGGCCCCCCCGACCATTTTGGGGTCCTCCAAACCCCCAGCATGCCCAAGGCCGCCCTCCCCACCATGGTCCCTTCCCACCCCCGGGATCCTGGGGTCCCCCATCCCGGTCCTGGACCCCCGGGGGTCCCCGTGCCCTCCTCCATCCCAGTCATGGGGTCCCCGCTACCCCCCCAGGGGGTCTCAGCGCCGCGGTCTCCCCAAAATCCCCAAACCCACCTGAACTGTGACACCCCCCAAACCCTCCGCTCCCACCGCTGCTGAGGCTGTCCCAAAGCCCCCCCGGGTCGCCCCCGATCCGGGGGTCCCGCCATCGCTCCCCCTCCCGCCGATCCCTCTCCACCGCCCCACCCGCTCCCTCCGCCCCCCCTCCCCCATTACCTGTCTCTATCTCAGGGGGTCCCAGATTTTGGGGGGGGGGGGGGTGTTGTGTCTAAAATTCTCCTCCGCGCCCCCCCCCCCACCGCCGCCAGCACGGCCGGGCCCGGCCGGGGGGGGCTCACGGGGGGGGCTCACGGGGGGCGTCGGCCCATGGCCATGGATGGGGGGGCTCCGGCGGCCTGTGGGGGAGACGCAGCGGGTGGTCACCGAGCCCAAGACGCCCCAAACCCCCCCGGGACCCCCAAACCCCCCCGATCCCCCCCTCCTCCTCCTCCTCCCTCACCGGCCGCTCCCGCCTCCCGCGCGCGCGGCTGGAGCGCCGCTGACGCAGCGTCCGGGAAGCGGCGCTGCCGCAAGGCCGCCCCCTGGCGGGTCGGATGACCCACCACCGGGGAGGTGGTCACGTGACTCGATAGCCGCTTGGTGGGCGTGGCTTTATGCGGTGGGTGTGACCAAGAAGGCGTGGCTTCATTAAGGGAGCTGTTTACTGAGGGGCGTGGTTTTGTGGGGGAGCGTGTTTGTTGGGGGCGTGGCTTACGGAACACTCAGCTCATTGGGGCGCGCCTTGTCGAGGGCGTGGCTAATGGGGTGGGCGCGGCTTGCACACGCCCCTGCATGCGTCACTTCCTGTTTCCACTTCCGGGTTCGGCGGCCGCCGCCGGTAACGGCTCCGGGCCGGGCCCCGCCATGTTCCTCCTCCTCCTCCTCCTCCCGCCGCCGCCGCCCCCATGAGCCGCAAGAAGAGCGGCTTCGCCATCACCAGCGTGCGCGGCGGCAGCGGGGCCGCGCCGGGCGATGCCCCCGGGGCTTCTTCCTCGTCCTCCACCGGCGGAAGCCCCGGCGGCTCGTCCCGGTTCCGCCTGGTCCGGTTCCTGGCGCCGGGGGAGGTGCTGCGGCGGGGCCGGTGGCTGTGCAGGGATTTCTACGAGCGGGACGCGGCGCCGCGGGGCTCCGGGAGGGTCCCGGTTTCGCTGGACGCCCCCCGGGCCCCCCCCGCCCCCCACCAGCCGCGATCGCTCGGGGCCTTCGCGCAGCTCGTGCAGCAGGTCAGGGGGCGGGGCCCGGGGGGCGGGGCCTGGCGCGGACACGCCCACCAGGACCCCCCGAAACCCACCCTCACCCCCCCTTTGTTTACAGGCGCTGCCCCCCAAGCCCCCCTCGCCGCGGCCGGCGGGGGCCGAGCTGAGCGCGCGGCTGGAATTGGCCGGAGAGGAGAGCGAGGAGGAGGGGTGGGTGAGGGGCGGCTCCGGTTTGGGGGCAGGGGCGGGATTTCCCCCCCAACACCGCCAAAAAGGGGAAGGAAATCGGGGGGTGGGGGAGGGGGGAAGTTGGGCCCTTCCCCCACTTTGGGGGGGAGGGGCGGTGTCTGTCTGTCCGTCTGTCTGACCCTCCCTCCTCGACACTCCCCCAGCTCCGGCAGCGTCTCCGCCATCGACAACAAGATCGAGAGGGCCATGGTGAGACCCCCGGGATGGGGGCTTTGGGGGTGGGGGGGCCTCAAAGGGGGGTTTTGGGGTCCTGCAGGGGGGGGCTGGGGGGCTGAGGGTCCCAGACAAGGGGCTCTGGGGGGGTCTCCATGTCCCAGCTGTGGGCCCCACATGGGGGCTTCTGGGGGTCTCTGGGTCCTTGAGGTGGGGGGGCTCTGGGTTCCAGCCCCAGGGGCAGGTGGGTCTCTGGTCCCACCTGGGGGGATCTCTGTGTCCCATCTCTGGGGGTTTCTGAGCTCACTGTGGGGGTCCCTCGGGGTCTCTAAGGTGTCTCTGTGCCCCACCAAGGACCTGCTGAAGTCACACCTTCTGTTGGCCGTGCGGGAGGAGGTGGGGGGGTCTCTGGGGGTCTCTGTTCTCACTGTGGGGCCTCGGGGGTCCCCGTGCTCAGTGTGGGGGTCTCCCTGCCCGCAGGACCTGGTGAAGTCGCACCTGCTGCTGGCCGTGCGGGAGGAGGTGGAGGCTCTGCGGGAGCAGATCCGGGAGCTGAGCGAGCGCCGGGCGCAGCTGGAGCAGGAGAACCGCCTGCTCCGCACCCTCGCCACCCCCCAGCAGCTCGCCCTGCTGAGCCCCCCCGGGCCGCCCCCGGGGCCGCCCTGAGCCCGAGGGGTGGTCCCGGGGGGCTTCTCAGGGGGGCGGGCGGGGGGTCCCCGCTCGCCACTGCTTTAGGGGGGGGTGGGGGGTGTAACGCACCTCCCTCCCCCTTTCTTGCGCAATTTGGGGCCTTTTCTAATAAAGCCGGGTTTTTACAGCACGGGGGGGGTGGCACGTGGTTGCTTGGGGGGATTAATTAATGAATTGGGGTGAATTAAGGGGAGGGGGCGGAGCGGGACGGGGGCGGGACTCGAACCCGGGTCTCGGGAGGCGCCGCCATGTTGGGGAGGGGCCACAGAGGCCCGGAGGGGGCGTGGGGGCCGCCATGATGAGAAGGGCGGAAACAAGGAGGGGGCGTGGCCGGAAGAGGCGTGGCCACAACCGCCATGAGACCGCGCGCGGTCCCGGCGCCGCCGCCCGGGGGGATCCTGAGGCGGGGGGGGCGCGGGGGGGGCACCCGGCAGGTCGGGGGGGGTCAAGTACCCCTAAATTGGGGAGGGGGGCAAAATACTCCTGAAGTGGGGACGGGGAGGGTTAAATACCCCCACGTTCGGGAAGGGGGGGGGACACGGCAGGTCTTTGGGAGGAGAAAACCACCCCAAAATGGGGAGGGGGGGGGCTCCCGACAGCTTTGGGGGGGGCAAATACCCCAAAATGGGCCAAGGGGGGGGACTCAAACCCGGGGGGGTCACCCCCTTACCCCAACTCCTCCCCCCCCAGGTTCGGTTCGCGGGTCAGGACGAGGATGACGATGCCGAGGATGATTTTGGGGGGGTCCCCGCGCCCCCCCCGCCGCTGGCGACCCCCACCCTGCACAGCAGCGGCCGGGGGGGCCCCCCGGGCCCGCCCCCCGACCCCTTTGACGCCCCCCGGGCCGCGGCCGCGCTCCTCGGCAGCTCCTTCGCCGCCCGCAGCGCCGTGGGGGGGGCGGCCAGCGGAGGTGAGGGGGGGTCCCGTGGGGGTGTGGGGGGGTCCGGTCAGTCCCCCCCACCCCCGCTTTTTAACTCAAACCCCCGTTTTTCCCCCCGTTTCAGCCATGAACGTCCCCCCCGCCCAGCGGCTCTTCCGGGGGCTCATCAGCCTGGCCGTGCCCCCCCCGCCGGGCCCGCGCAGGGGGGTCCCGCCCCCCCCCGCGCCCCCCCCGCAGGTGAGAGACCCCCCCCCTTACCCCCCGAACACCCTCCGGCGCTGATGGACCCCCCGCCCCAAATTTTCTGTGCCCCCCATCCCCCCGCAGGTCCCCGGGCCCGAGTTGGGGGTGTTGGCGGGGGGGGCCGGGAGGGGGGTGGGGGGGCCTTGGCTGCCCCCGCCCAACCCCCCCTCGCCCCCCCGGGCCCTCCCTCGCCCCCCCGGAGCCGCCTTCGCCATGTTCGGGAAGTTGCAGCAGTGGGGGGGGTGCTGAGACCCCCCCCCCCAAAATCCCCTGTTGTCCCTAAATCCCTGTGTGTCCCCCCCAAATCCTCCTTGCCCCCCCCAAAATCCTCCCTTCCACCCCCAAATCCCCCTTGTCCCCCCCCAAAATAAACCCCCGTTTTATAATTTGTGCCATTTTTTGACATCCCCCACCCCAAACCTCCAACCTCCCTCTCCCCAAAACCGGGGGGGTTAAACCCACCCCCCCCTCCCCAAAGCAGCAGCCCCCCCATCCTGCTGACCAATCACCTCCTTTATTCGGGGCCCCCCCGGCCCCCCCTCACTCAGAGCAAACCACGGGGGGGGGAGGGAACACCCCAAAAATGGGGGGAGGGGGGAAAGCAGAGCCCCCTCCCCCCGTTTGGCATCTGTTGGGGGGAGGGGGAAGGGGAGTGACCCCCCCCAACCACCCCCGGCAGCATCAGGGCCCCCCCAAACCCGGGGGGGTCCCGGGGGGGCTCAGGGGGCGTCGCCTCGTCCCTTGTGGAAGAGATAAATCGGCCTCTGGAAGCCTGGGGGGGATGAAAGGGGGGGTCAGGGGGGGATCCCTGAATTCACACCCACCTTTTGGGGGATCCCCCACCCCCAAACACCCCCCAGATGTGGGGTCTCACCCCAGCCAGGCCCGGAATCCACCCCGGAACCCCCCCTGGGTTTGGGGTGTTCCCCCCTCAATGTTGGAGCTGTGCTGGGGGGTCTGGGGGTATTTTGGGGTGTCCCTCACCTTTGGAGCTGTGCTGGGGGGGTATTTTGGGGTCTCTCTCACCTTTGGAGCTGTGCTGGGGGGGTATTTTGGGGTGTCCTCACCTTTGGAGCTGTGCTGGGGGGTATTTTTGGGGTGTCCCTCACCTTTGGAGCTGTGCTGGGGGGTAGTTTGGGGTGTCCCTCACCTTTGGAGCTGTGCTGGGGGGTCAGGGGGTATTTTGGGGTGTCCCTCACCTTTGGAGCTGTGCTGGGGGGTCAGGGGGTATTTTGGGGGTCCCTCACCTTTGGAGCTGTGCTGGGGGGGTATTTTGGGGTGTCCCTCACCTTTGGAGCTGTGCTGGGGGGTATTTCGGGGGTCCCTCACCTTTGGAGCTGTGCTGGGGGGTCCCCAGGAGCTCGCAGCGCTCGAAGCCCACCTCGGGGGAGGTCAGGTAGGCCGGGAACTGCTCCGGCCGCAGCCGGATCCGCTGGTAATTCCGGAACGTCGTCTCCTGGGGGGGGCAGGGGGTGAGACCCCAGAGCAACAACCCCCAAAAAACGCCTTGTGGGAAACCCCAGAGCCAAAAAACCCCCCTTCCACCCCCCCAGGGCTCCCAGAACCCCCCAGACCCCACAAAGATGCTCCCCAACCCTCTGCTCACCCCCTCCCACCCAGGACCACCCCCCCTCCTTTAAACCCCCCAAACCCCCTCAGGGCTCCCCCAAACTCCTCTGTAACGCCCCAAGCCCCCCCGTGCCCCCCTTGCCCCCCCCCAAAATCCCCCAGACCCCCCCCAAAGCCCCCCCCAGACTCACGGTGAGCCCCTTGCGCTTGCGGTAGGACCCCCAGGGCTGGGGCTCGAGCACCAGGAGCCCCCCCGGGCGCAGGTGCCGGAAGGCCCTTCGGAAGAGCCGCTTGAGCCCCTCGTCCCCCCAGTTGAGCTGCACCCACTTGGTGAGCGAGAGCAGCAGCACCACGTCGAACTCGGGCCGCTGCGCCTGCACCAGCTCCTCCCGCTCCGGCACGTAGTTACCCTGGGGGGCACACCGGGGGGCTCTCAGGGGGGCTGGGGGGCACCGGGAACCCCCCTGAGGGGGCTGGGGGGCACCGGGAACCCCCCTGAGGGGGCTGGGGGGCACCGGGAACCCCCCTGAGGGGGCTGGGGGGGCACCGGGAACCCCCCTGGGGGGGCTGGGGGGCACCGGGAACCCCCCTGAGGGGGCTGGGGGGCACCGGGAACCCCCCTGAGGGGGCTGGGACTCGTCGGGGTCACCGGGAGAGAAGCGGCTCCTCCCGGTGTGGGGTGGAGTTACCCCGGGGGTCGGGCTGGGGGGGCTGTCAGGGGGCTTTGGGGGGCACCGGGAACCCCCCCCGAGGGGTTCTGGGTGTGGGGGGGGGACACCCACCAAGGAATTTTTGGGAGGGGGGGGTCTCACAATGAGCCCACGTGGAGATTGGGGGGAGTGGGGCGTGACCATCTTTAGCTCCGCCCCCTCTCAGCCCCTCCCATCACCGCCCACCCCCCAACTTCTTGGGATCCCCCCCCCAAGGCCTTTGTGACCCCCTTAAACCCACTTTTCACCCCCCCCAAAACCTACCCAAGACTCCCCCAAACCCCTCCCTGACCCCTCCGACCCCCCCCACTCATCATTGCCCCCGATCCCCCCCCAGACCCCCCAAACCCTCTTCTGACCCCTTCAGACCCACCCAGACCCCCCAAAACCCATCCAAGAGCCCCCTAAAGCCCCCCCAAACCCACCCCTGACCCCTCCTAATGCCCTTGTGACCCCCCCAAACCCACTCAAGACCCTCCTAAAAATCTCCCCACCCCCCCAACCCCTTTACACCCAACAAACCTCCCCCAAACCCATCCAAACCCCCTCCAACACCCCACACCCCCTCGTCACTCCCCCAAACCCCATCCCAGACTCCCCGTGACCCTCTTGTGACCCCTTCAGACCCCCCAAAACCCACCCAAACCTCCTCCAACTCCCCGATACCCAGCTGTCACCTCCCCAAACCCTCTCGTGACCCCTTCAGACCCCCCAAAACCCACCCAAGAGCCTCCTAACCCCCCCCAAACCCATCCCTAACCCCCTCCCACCCTTCCCAGAAGCCCCCAAACCCCCTTGTGACCCCTTCAGACCCCCCCGAGCCCCCTCCGGGCCCCCCCAGACCCCACACTCACCGTGACGAACACCACGTTGTGCGGGAACTCGGCCGCCCCGGGCCCGTCCGGGGGGAGCTGCGGGGCCGCGATGGGGCCCCGGCTGGCCAAGAGCGCGGCTGGAAACCCCCTCCTCTCCCCTCCCTGCCCTTCCCCGAGCCCCTCGGACAGGTAGTGGCGGATGTTCTGCCGCGCCGAGCGCACGAGCCGCCCGTCAATGTCCAGCCCCACGACCCTGCTGGGGCCCCAGCGCTTGGCGATGCTCAGGGTGAGGTGCCCCACGTTGCACCCCACGTCCAGCACCTCCTTGCCCGCGAACCACTCGGGGCGCAGCGCCCGCAGCCGCGAGTCCTCCACGTCGGGGTTGCGGTACCCGTAGTACTTGCAGTAGTTCCCGTACTGGAATTTGCGCTCCTGGCGCCGCGGCGCCTTTCCCGGGGGCTTCCCCGCTTTCTCCTGGGGTTTCTCCTGCGGGGGCTTCTCGTGGTTCTGGGCGGGAGGGGGGGGCGGCGGGCGCGGCCCCTCGGATTTGCTGCAAGTCCGTCGGCGCTTGCGGTGGCGGCCGGTGGGGCCGGGCTCGGGGGGCTCCTCGGGGCCGTTACCGCCGGCGTTATTCCCGGCGCCGCCGACATTGCTCCCGGCGCCGCCGCCGCCGTTATTCCCGGTGCTGCTGGCGCTGTTCCTGGCGCTGTTGGCCCGCTGCTGCCCGCGGTGCCGGTGTCTCCTCCGGCCGCTCTTGGCGGGGCTCGCCAGCCGCACCTCGGGCCCGTCGTCGCCGGGCGCGTTGAGGCTCAGCGGGTCCGTGATGTCCCTCGGCACCAGGATCTCCACGGGGTCCCTGCCCCGCGCCGGCAGCGGCGAGGACTGCGGGGTGCGCGCGTTGAGCGCCCGGCTCACCTCCTCGTCCAGGAGGCTGTTGAGGTTGAGCGGGTCGAAGATGTTCCCGCCGAGCAGGAACTCCGAGGGCAGCACCGGCCCGCACTCCGAGGCCGCGCGGCGCCGCCGCTTCCACGCCGGCTGCTTGGCCCCGCAGCTGCTGCGCCGCTTCCCGCCCCCGCCCCCGGCGGCGCGGAGGCCGTTGCGGGGCCGGGGGGTCTCGGGGGGTCTCTGAGGGGCCGCGGGGGGCGGAGGCGGCGGAGGCGGCACCAGGAAGGCCTCGGGCGCCGCCGCCATGGCGGCCCGGCCCGCGCCTGCGCGCTGCGCGGCGCCGCCCCCGCGCATGCGCTGGGGACGCGCGGGGAAGGGAGGAGCCCCCGCGGAGGTTCCGCTCTCGCCGCGTCCGAACCGCGATGGACGCGCTGCGCCGGCCCCGCCGCGCTTATATAGGGGAAGGGGCGGGGCTTATCGGGGAGCACGCCCCGAAAAGGGGAGGGGTGGAGGAACGCGGCCAATGGAGAGGGAGACCTCGCTCGCGGCGGCCAATAGGAGGAGTCGGTTTGGTGGGGGGGCTTGTTGGGGTGGGGCTGTCCCCGCAGAGCGCCTGCCCGAAACGCTCGTACGGCGGAGGGGGGGCAATGGCGGCGGCACGGGAAAAAAGGAGGAGGGAGAGGGGGGAGAGGCGATGAGGAGTTCGGGGTGCGCGCGAAGGGGGCGGAGGGAAAGCGGCGGGGAGGCGGAGCGGGCGCGCGGCGCGGAGGGAGATGAGGGGGCCTCGAGGAAGCGCGGAGGATGCCGGGAGTTGTAGTCCACAGGGACGACGGAGCTCCTCACCGCCTTCTCACCCCCCGCTCGATTATTGCGCTGGTGTTCCCTCCGTGTCTGAGCCGCGCGCTGACGGCATCGCCTCGGTCGCGACGTCACAGAACCGGCCGTTCGTCCCTTCCCAGGAACGGGAACAGCGAGAACAACGCGCGGTTCTCGCCACGGCCGCCAGGGGGCGATCCCGCGCTTCCTTCCCGTAAAATCTCGCGAGAGCCGCGCGAAATCTCGCGCCGGGCCCGCGCCGTTTCTCGCGCTGCCTTTCCCGCCATTTTCCTCCCTTCACGCGGGGGGGTGGTCACGTGACCTCATTTTTCCCGCCTCCGTTTTCGCGCCCAATCGCCGGTCACGTGATCCCCCCCCTCCCGCGTGAGCCCCGTTTTGAGGCAAAACCCCCCAGAATCGGTTAAAAAAAAGCCCCAAACCCCCTCGGAACTCCCCACGCCCCCCTCAGCCGCCTCCACAGGAGCCTCGGAGCCGCTTCTGGGTGAATTTCAAGGGG